TATTATAATTAATTATTTAAAAAATTATAAGTTAATAAAATTATAAATATATTGAGTGAGCTTAACAAAATAAAAAGTGATAATAAACTCAGCCTCTCACCACACGGTAGCTTTGGCTAAATGATGTATGGATTAAAACCTAAACTAAAATTTGTTTTCCCCCTAAATTGAAAAATTGTCTTTTTTATTAATTTCAGGTGCCTTAGTTAGTTTATATATACTTTAAAATTAATTTATTTTCAAATAATTTTAAGGTTATATGCTTTATAACCTATATAATGCATTAAAAAATAATTTTTAAATATTATTTCAAAACTTAAATTTGTCTCAATCTATAGTTTATAATTTTAAAAAAGCATAGTGCAAATTAAATGGTATAAAATTATACTAAATTAATTATTAAATAAGAATTAAGTCTTTTAACATTAAAATTTTTTATATAATAATTTATATTTTAAAATTTAATACAGTTTAAAATAAGATTTTCTTCTAATTTAAATCTTTAGTTTTTTTTTTTTTTGGTACATTTTAAATCTTTACTTGATTTTGCCCGATTACCTCTAAGATCGTTTCTGGGTCAGGCCTCCTTTTGGGCTCGCTCAGATTGGACCAAAGCAAGGTCCAGAGAGGCCAACATTGAGCCCAGTTAAAACAGCGGGAAAAATTGGCGGGTAAATTGACGGCGGTAGTGGAGAAGGGGGATCATTTCCGCGAAAGCCCTAAGCCAAACTCTCTGAGACTCCAGAGCATCAAAGCACGGGAAAACTTGGCGAGTAAATCGACGGCGGTAGTGGCGTAGGGGATCATTTTTACGAAAACCCTAAGCCTACCACTCTGGGACTCCAGAGCATCAAAGGACGATAACCCCTTTCGTCTCTGAAGCTATTTCATCCCAGTCGAATCTTCAATTCGGGTTAGATTTCAATTTGCTTAGTCCTCACTTTTCTGCCTTTTCCGTTAGATTTTTTTTTATTTTTTATCCATTCTGTTAAGTCAATGCAGTTTTTTTTTGTTGAAATGATCATGGTAGTGTGAACAAATCATGAGGGTTCTATTTATTTATTTTTATTTTTATGGTAAATTGAGACTTCATAGAGTTAATTTAGTTGATAAGCAAAATTCCCTGATTTATGTGTTGGTGTTGTTCTGTTCTAAGTTGGCATTTTTTGTTTAGTGCATTTGGATTGCTGGAAGGGTGTTGGAGTTTCATACTTTGATGCTTCTTTCTCATCTGATTAGTGCAATTCATGGAAGAACTGCTGCCAGTTTGCAAAGGAGCAGAAGCAGTTTTAAATCTGCAGCCTAGCTCTTCAATCTCTATTGGGTATCATCCTCTCTTTGGCCCCCATGATGATCTTATTCTCTTTGAGCTTGATGAGAAACTCGTCCCCGATGTTCTGCACCAAAGGTGGATATCAAGATCTTTAATTTTAATATGTTTAACTTCTTTTAATGTGTTTTTAATGCATTTAGGATCCATTCATTTTCTAGGGTAACCTTAAGGGGACAGCCGGATGAGGAAGCTGTCCTCTGTACCATGTCAAAAACTTATGCGATTAAGTTTGTAGGAACTTCGAATTCTGTATTCCTTATACCTCCCTCAGATAATTCAGTATCATGTGATAAGTCACTAGGTTGTCATGAGGGAAATTATAAGGAGGAAGTTGTGGCCGCTGTTCTGAAAGTTGCACCTGGTACGATGGAGCTTGTTGAGGTTGCCCCTAAACTTGACAAACTAAAATCGATTCTCTTGGAGAGTCCTTACTGCTCTGATGAGGTGGAAGGGATGGGGGATTTAGAAGTGATGGAGACAACATCAAGAAGATTGTATACATGGGATGATCTTGTTGACAGGGTTCAGGCTAGTGATGATGAATTGAGAGCTGGATTAAAGGCTATCTCGGCAGTGGAGATTGATGGGTGTTGGAGAATTGTGGACGATAAATATATGGACTTCATTCTGTGGATGCTTTTAAATAATTCTGTAGCAAATGGCTGGTCACTCAATGAGCTGATTGAAGAGGAAGTTGTGAATGTGCTGGTATCAGATGGGATTCCTGCCAGACTTGCCAATCATTGTTTACAGGTTTATGGAAATAAGGTGGTGGGTGCAGGCAGAAGCTTGTGGAGGCTGGACGAGAGGAGAGTATGCATACAGTTTGCAAGACAAATTTTGAGAGAAGGAAAGAGGAAAATAGAAATTTTTATGGAGGAATGGATGAAGAAGATTCCATTAGGGATGCAGGCTAGTTTTGATATGTTGGAAGGTGAGGTTTTGACAGAGAAGCTTGGTGTTGAGACATGGGTTCATGCCTTTAGTGTTTCTTCATTGCCTTCTAACCCTGCAGAACGTTTTTCCATGCTCTTTAAAGAGCGGCTAAAATGGGAGTGGAAGGATTTACAGCCCTACATCAGGTTTCTCTCAGTTTCCCCTCTTTTTAACTCTATCCTTGGACCAAAAATCAGCAATAACTTTTCCATTTGAACTGGTATTTCAGGGATCTAAAGGTACCTGGTCTTACTTCAGAAGGGTTGCTACTCAAGTACACTCGAAGAACACAACCAACCCTTGATGCAGAACCTGTTTTTAGTGCAAGATAGTGCAATGGACTTGGTTTAAGGTGTCATTTCTGTGAATTAATTGAAATGGATGGACTTACACTAGAAGTGTAAACCTAAGTCCACTAGAAATGTAAACCTTTCAATTTTCTTTTTGGGTTGATGAAGTACTCCATTTCGGTTCTAGATCCATTGATGTACGTACTTTACCCATTAGAGAAGTCTGCTAATCACAAAGCATTCATAAGGTTTCCCTCCATTCTGAAAGAATCTATTTCAATCCATGATTTGATCGTATGTAAAAGGCTAGGCTTATTGCTAAATTTGGAACCTTTTAGTAATGCATAATTGTTTGGTGTGAGATCACCTCAATTGGTTACGAAAAATTGCTTCAAATGTTTCTGATCCTAGGCAATGACTTTGGTGATGCTGAAATGCAGTTTTTGTTTTCTCAGCAGCCTTGTTTGTTGTTCAAAAATTGAACAACAGAGCTATTTTTCTGTTTATTGTTTTTGAAATGATTCTGCTTTTCATCACAAGAGCATGTACAATGGTGTTCTTTTTTATTATGATTTTTAAAAAGACAGCAAAGACAAAAACTCTTGATCATCGAAAAGAAATTTTAAAACAGAGCTTATTCTCTGCAAAGAACAAGCTCTGTTTGAATTTTTAAGAAGCTGAAATTGCTGCAACGCCTGGCATTCGCTGTATTTTGATCAGCGCATTTGTTTTGATCCAACGAGCAATCAAACATTTCTCTCTCTCTCTCTCTCTCTTTTAAATTCAATTTTTATAATTTAAATATATAAAATATTAATAAAATAAAGTAATATTAATATGATTTTTAAAAAAGCTCTAAACATTAAAAAAGATGTATACTATTAAATGTTTTATTTTTTTAATAAAAGTTAAATTTATTTATTTAGTAACTGTCTATGCTTATACAAGCAAGCAGCAATTTATTACTGCCACAAAGAATAAAATGCAAAAACTATTTAAACTATAGTATATATCTTTGTGCAACAGCTTCAATCCCCTAATTGATTACTATGGACAAAGGCTAGATGTTTTATTTAAAGACTAAATATATAAAAATATAATTTTATATAAAATAATAATATTGATTGTAATTGTGTGCACATCAAAATTAACTTTCTATTGTTTCGCATTGTACACGCTCGCATAAAAGGTTCCAACCTCCGAGAATACATTGTTTGACTAAATTAGATATGACTAATTATGACTTATCTGGGTTTGTTTGGGACATTGTTAGTTGGAGAAAAATGGTGGC